GGAAAAGGGGTAAAATTTATTGGCAATCTGTGCTACATGCAGTGTTGTGGGGAATCTAGGATGAAAGAAGCAAACGTCTCTTCAACAACAAATTCAGTCCCCTGGAGGAGTTAATTTCAGACATAACTTACCTCTGCAATCTTTGGACTGTTAACTCAGAACTGTTCAAAGGACTCTCAGTCAATGACCTCAATAGAGATGCCCACCCCTCCCTTTTTCTCCCTCAACCTTATCGAACAACCTTGAGACATCCAGATCCTATCAGTGGAGTGATGACCTTAAACTCCGATGGAAGTACTTTAGGTAACCCTGGTTTAGCTGGAATTGGAGCCTTGGAGGCATAGTTAGGGATGAAAGGGGCAACACTTTCCAGACTTTCAGTGGTCCAATTGGATTGGCTGATTCCACAAAGGCTGAAGTGCTGGCTGCTCTCACAGGAATCAGAATAATAAGAAATCTGGGAATTCAGAACTTAATCATTATAGGTGATTCAGCAAATACTATAAAATGGTTAAGGGACAAAGAGGGGGACCTTGGAGATTGAGTCCCTACTTAGCAGAGGCAAGGGACTCTTTGGACTGTTTAATTGTAAAATTAGCTTGATTCCTAGGGAACTAAATCATATAGCAGATGGCTTAGCCAAATGTGGCATGTTTTTGGATCAATTGTATAGCGACAAGCTTCCTCCTCTGTAATTCTCATGTACTTCTTCTTTCTTTAATAAAATCTGGTTAAATTTTTCTCAAAAAAAAAAAGAAAAAGAAAAACACCTAGGGGCTAGCCTTAACTTCAAAAGAGCTATGGCCCACAAACAACAAGAAATTATGGAAACGCAAGCAAGACTAGCTCTTTGGAAGGCTAAGTTGTTATTCTAAGCAGGTAGGACCACAATGGTGAAAGCTGTCATGCAAGCTATCCCAACTTATTCGATGGGCATCCCTGTACTTCCTTTCACCATTATTAAAAACTTGGAGCAAATTCAAAATAACTTCTGGTGGAATGGTGAACAGGAAAGGAAATGCTTACATACCATAGCTTGGGATAAACTATGTAAACCAAAAGCAGAAGGGGGTTTAGGCTTCAGAAGGCTAAGAGAATTCAAGTTAGCCTTATTTTCAAAGCAAGTATGGTGACTATTCACGGGAGATAAAGGACTGTGGATACAAATATTAAAGGAGAAATATATAAAGGATACCTCGATTTTCTATCTAAAAAAGAGAGCAAGTGATTCCCCATGGTGGAAGCAAGTTGTTGAAGTTGTGAACCTGATGAAAGGTAGCATGATCTGGCAAGTTAAAGATGGGACCTCAATATTCATCTCAGATAAATGGATTCCCACTATTCATGGTGGCTCTCCCACAGTCAGAGGTTATATTAATGAGGAACCTCCCAGGAAAGTTCGTGAACTAATTGATCCTACAGGAAGCTGGGATCTACCCAAATTGAACCTGTTCTTTAATGAAGAATGTGTACAACACATCTCTCAAATCATAATCTCATCTAACATAACAGCAGATACTCTACAATGGAAAAGATCCAAAAAGACCACATACGATGTCAAATCTGGTTATAAAATGTTCACTAATCATTTACCCTCATCATTCCATCAGTCTATGGACTGGAAAATCATCTGGAAGACTAGAGTCTCTATGAGATTCCAAATCTTTATGTGGAAGGCATCGTGGCAGGGATAAAAACAAAATCCAAGATAAAATCCCTTAATAAAGAGGAGAAATTTTTCTATTTCTGTAAGCAATATGAGGAATCATGGGAACATGTGTTCTTCAAAAGCCACAAGCTGTATGGCTTACGGCCCAGATAGGTATTAACCCAGATTGCATACACAACAAGCCATAACATATGGTTGTTGAGGAGTGGATTGAAGAAGTATGGGTAGGGGACACTCTGGAAACTCTATTAAGTTTTGGGAACAAGTATGGGTAGGGGACACCCCCTTGAGGGATCAATTTCCTTCATTGTTTGCATTAACTTCGTACAAAAATGAGCCTATTTCTACCTTGTTGGTTCCCTTACTTGAAGTTACTGCTGTTAGCAGAACTTCTGGGTTCAAAATAAAAACAAAAATCAAAGAAGAAGAAGAGAGAAGAGAAGAAGAGAAAAGGAAGAAAGAAGGAGAAGAGAGCAAAGGAAGAGCAAGAGAGTGATGGGCAAAATCACTTACTGCTGCCCAAGGCAGTATTATTTATATGTTAAACATAACATTAGGTTAAAGGACAAAAATGCCCTGCTACCTATAATAGTACAAGTAACTAAGTATAAAGACAAGAAATAAGATATAAGACTGAACTTATGGGACCACATAAACAAGAAACATCATGTCTGGTCCACTGTATACTACACCCTCTAATTATGGGATGGGGTTTAATTGGAATCTGGGTTTGAGGAGGGCTATTAGGGATTCTGAATTAAATAGTACCTTGTCTTTGATGGGCATCCTTGATGGGGTGTATTTGGACCCTTCTCAACCTGATAAAAGAATCTGGACTCCTCATGGGTTGTTTACTTGCTCTTCCTTTTTCAATGCCCTAACCCTTCTGGTAGCTAATGGAGGTCCATCCTTCCCTGTTAAAGAGGTGTGGAGTAAACCTATCCTGCCTAAGATTGGAAGTTTCTGTTGGGAAGCATACCTGGAAAAAATTAATCCTTGTGACTTACTTCAAAAGAAAAGACCAAAGAGCTGTCTGTCCCCTTACTGGCGCTATCTCTGTAAGGTCGACAGTGAGAATTGCTACCATTTACTAATCTCCTGTACTTCAGTTAAAGGTTTATGAGAATGGTTTCCCTCGTTGTTTGGATGCAGGTGGAACCCACCACCAGATCTGAAAAGGTTGTTTGCACATTTGTTTTTCAGACTGCCAAAGAAAAGGGGAAGAATGATGTGGCGTTGTGTAAGGGCTGCTGTCATTCGGACCATTTGGGAAGAAAGAAATTCCAGAATATTCTCTTGGAAGGAGAGGGGCAAGGAAGCTATTCTAGAGGTAATTTGTATCTGGGTAATACATTGGCTTAAATCTATGGAGCTATTCAATAGTGTGTCATTGGATGACCTGTTAAGAAAGTGGAGAGAAGTTGCATTTTCAGCCCCGGGTCAAGAAGTAGTAGTTCCATTTTGGGCCTCCCTCCTAGTGGCTGCTACAAACTGAACTTTGATGGAAGCAGTTTCGGCAACCCAGGGCCATCGGGTATTGGGGGTGTTCTAAGAGATGAGAAAGGGACAATAATTGCCTTGTTCTCTGGTCCAATTGAACCTGGTGGCTCTCTTAGAGCTGAGATCTTGGTGGCATTGGAAGGTGTTCAGAGAGCTAAGGAGTTAAACTTACAAAAGTTGATCATTGAAGTGGACTCCAAGCTGGTGGAGTGGCTGAAAGAAGATAAAAATGGAATGTGGAGGTACAACAATGAAAATAAGAGATTCAAGTGGTTAATCAGAAACATGGAAATTGAAGTAAATTGGGTCAAGAGGTGTGCTAACTCCTTTGCTGATGGGTTAGCAAAACAAGGGGTAAACAGGGATACATTGTTTTGGGCACAACTGTAATGTTTTAGCTTGTTTTGTTTCTTGTTGGGGGAGATAAGAAAGGTTATCTTCCCCTTGTATCTTTATCTGTTTCTTAATGAAATCTTTGTTATTGATAAAAAAAAAAGGAGTGGATTGAAGAAAAACTGAAATCACTACCTAAACAGGCTCAAAACCTGCATCTCACAAAAATCTTGGTGCTGTTCAGACTTATATGGGATATGAGGAACGCAACAGCTCATGATGAGACTGTTTAAGGCTGGACCAACTGGTCGACCAAGTTTGGAACTTCATTTCTATGGAGGACTTGGCACACAACTCAGCTGTGAACTTCCTGCACTTCCACATCATTGCATCTGCAGATTTTCATCTATATGTGGATGGCTTGTTTCATGCAGACTTGGGTCAAGCGGGAATTGGATTTGCATGGATGCTATAATCAAGCAGAGGACTGGACGACCAAGCCTATCAAAGATGAAATTATCTTTATGTTTCTGTTGTTTGATATAATATCTGTAAATCATATTAGAACTCTGAACTCAGCTGCTCATGGACTGGCGTACAATGCATGTAAATGTAATCATACTACAGATGACAAGAACAGCTCTACTACTATATGTAACTTTTTTTTTTTTTGATAAATTACTACTATATGTAACTTTGATATTTTATAAATGTTACTCCCTCCATTTTGGCGGAAAAAAAAGAGAGAATGTGAAGGAGAAGAAAGAGAAACTCATAGTATATTGATGTGGTCCAGCATCACATTCACATGTACATGTAGACATTATGAGTTACCCATTGCTATTTGTTTTGTAATGTTCTCAGGGCTATAATTGGTGCTTGAAAAGTGTTACATATTTTGTTTAGGGAAAATTCCTGATCAGTACCCTGTACTTTGGCTTGAGTGACAATTTGGTCCCCGAACTTTAAAATGCGACAGTCCAGTGCCCGAACTTTCAAAATGCAACAATCCAGTACTCAACTTTCAAAATGTGACAATCCAGTACCTGTCGTTAACCAATCCGTTAATCAGCCGTTAAGTGACATTTGAAAGGTCAAAAATGCCCTTTGAATGCCATCTAATTCTCTTTATCAACCATCCAAACGTTGACAATAAAATGAACAGTCCCAAATTCTAGCTTCTTCTAAACAGTCACCAACTTTTTTGAATAGAAGAGGCTAGGATTTGGGACTGTTCAGTTTTTTGTCAACATTTGGATAGTTGATAAAGAGAATTAGATGTCATTCGAAGGGCATTTTTGACTTTTCAAATGTCACTTAACGGCTGATTAATGTACTGGTTAACGGCAGGTACTGGATTGTCGCATTTTAAAGTTTGGGGACCAAATTGCCGCTCGAGCCAAAGTACAGGGTACTGATCGAGAATTTTCCCTTTTGTTTATAATTGGTGTATTTAGATTTTGACCTGAACTTTCAAATTTGATCTTGTATTTTTCAGGTCTTGGGGGCAGATTTGTCTGTTTTAGATGAAATAGATTCTGGGTTAGATGTTGATGCACTACAAGATGTAGCAAAAGCTGTCAATGGTCTTTTGACTCCGAAGAACTCTGTTTTGATGATTACTCATTATCAGCGACTTTTGGATTATATAAGACCAAATTATATTCATATTATGGTAAGTTGCTGGATAAACTCCAAAGAAAAATGTTCTTTTTTGGGGGGAGGGGGAGGGGGAGGGGAGAGTTTGACAGAACCAGATGCTCAGACCATTTCATCCCCTCTAAATGGATTAAATCTACATGTGGTCATTAGTCAGATTACAGATTCAATCACTCTTACTGCAGACCCAGTTTTGGGGCCATGAAAATATCCTATAACCACAATCCTCTCACTTGTCTAGGATGACGGGAGAATAGTGAAGACGGGTGATATCTCAATAGCAAAAGTACTTGAAAAGGAAGGGTACAAAGCGATTTCATCTGCATAACAATTTCTGGTAACTAATACTTTCCCCCTCCACCTGAACTTCAATATCTTATTCATTTTCTTCACTATTGCATTCCAAGCAAGATTGGTTTCTTAATTTTTCTTTACTGCAGGCAGAAAAATTTTGCAAGGCTGAGCTTTTGCGGTATTTATGTAATGAGGGCAGGCAAGTGTACCCTTGCTTCCATTTTCTACTTCCTATGGAGATCTATTCAAGGGAGTTTAGCCTGCTTGTAGCTTGTGATCTGATGCCTATGGTTCTTGCTGTTTTCCTTTTGCAATCCTCCAGTTATTGATAGCTTCTTTTGCATATTGTTATTTGTAAAATTTTAGATATTTCTGAACGGAAAAAAAAAAAAAAAACTATGATGCCAGAAGGACATGATATTGGAAGGGCTTTCACCGATCAAAACCCTTGTGAATTTTGATAATTTGGATTATCTGAACATAATGGCTATGCATCGGGTTGGGATCCTCTGTCTTCCCAGCATTCCCCTCTCAGTGTCCTCCCACTGAGGGACATCTGTTTTGCCATACAAGCTCCTCGTATCTGTCATGAGGACAGGAGACGGGAGAGTTTCCCAAAGCTGTCTTTTCTGATCACAACGGCTTTTGGGGCCATTTGAAACAAAGATGAGTGAAAACATCTAGTCAATTAAGGAGTGTTGGATAGAAAGATGCCACAGAATGGGCAGTATTGTTGGTAGAGGAGAGGAAGAAGATGAGGACGATACTGCTAATTTTGGAAGCTTGGAGAAGCTATGGGTTTGTTTAATTTAATAATTTTTTATGTAATTTTGATTTTTTTTCTGTATAGGCTTATTTATTATAAATCCATTATATACGTTTTTGTAATTTAAGTCTTGCCATAGGTAGTGTATAAATTTTAAATGCCTATAGGAGAGAATGCAATTTAAAAGGAAAAGAAAACAAATAGATAACAAGTTATAATCAACATGCCCAGTGCCCACTGTATCAGATGATTCCCTACCATGTTGTGATTGATATTCCCAGTGTATCAGTATGTACAGTCAATGAGTCAATACATAGTTCATACCAATATATGGTACTTCAAAACTCGAGTAGGTTAACTTTTTAGGAATGCACATACTATTCTCACTGCCTGTCTTGGTGCAACTGCAGATTGCGGCAATTTGTCAAGAAGCAGGAATGCATGCAGTTCGCAAGAACCGGTATGTTATACTTCCAAAGGACTTTGAAAAGGGTTACAGGGCAAATGTTAAAAGCCCGACACAGACTTCGAGTTTTATAAGTGAAGCATTATGAAAGCACATTTAGAACATTTGGATACTTTTAGTGGACTCCTCTTTGTAAACGTCAAAATATTTCTCCTCCATTCCTTTGTGTGCTAATGGCATGCTTTGTATTATTATAATTTTGCTTAGTAAGTAGTCGCAACTTGCAAATGTTAAAAGCTCTCTTAAAGCTGTGGTCGTGTTGGATTGGGCCTCTCTTGTTTGTTTGTAGATATCTCAAGTATTTGTCATGTGTGTTAACGTGAATGGTGCATGTTTAAGGGTAATGTCTTGGTCTCTCCACCAGAGAATGAAAAGGAAGACTCCTATATTAAGGAAGGCTGTCACATCAGTCACTCTTAAAGAATTAAGATTGTAGTTTGCGTAACTCATACAACCTATTTGGAATAGGTAGAATCGTCGGCAAGGATGAGCTGCAAAATTAATTGATGGATTTTAATGAAGTTGAGCTGTGTCGGTTAAACAGCTGGAAATTTGCCAGCTGTAATTCAGTTATCTATCTTGTATAAATTCCCCCTGTATATTGAATGAATTCTATTCATATTTCATCCTCGTTATGGTGATTGGCATTATATCCTCGTTTCCTTGGAAGCCATAGGGACATGTGGTGTGTCTGATCTTGAGGCTTGAACTTGAAGAACAAACAAGTTGACATGTGTAAATTAAACCCAGTCATGCTCCTAAAATAAATGTCAAATCGAGTAAATAGAATCTAAATACAATCATTACCCACAGGCCACAGTCAAGGGAGACCCAAAAAGCAGCCGACTGCATGGCGCATAAGAGTCATAATCTGCCGACAGCGTTTCACCATTCAGAGAATTATGTATGAGTACGTCTTATTTATGTACTGTTGTGTAGCTTGCTTTTTCCTTTGTTAGATATCCGAAAGAATACCTAAATGAAACGTCTCCGCAGAGGCCATTGCTTAATGGCTTCTTTTTCTTTTCATTTAAACTATGATCTTTTACCATCTCGCCAATTGTCTCTCGTTGAGGGTTGAATCATTTTGGCATTTGGAATATGACTTTTCAACTTTAACATTTTTTTTGCCGAAAATCTATGATTCATTGATTGATAGACACTACTTTCTTAACGCACAATAACACAAAACAAAGCTTTCCAATTATAATTTAGAGAATTTATAAGATCCAGGTCTTCTTCTCCTTGGTATGAATGGCCATAGTTTGCAAATTGGCATGTAATGTACTGTAAGACTCCGAATAACATAAATAGGTGAATAATTTAAATTTTTCAAAAATACAGAAGTAAAACTCAAATACATTTGACACTAGCTCCATGAAATGAAAACCCAAAAGAAATGACAATTGAACATTATACATGAATGATGAACGAATCTTTTACCGTATTTTTTTGCTGCTTGGTTCTAAATATGGATAGCATCAGAAATCAATAATACATATAAAGGCACAGCTCATGAGCACTGTAACTCATAACCTAGCAGTGCATGGAGCTAGCAAATAATGTCTCCTAAGGTAAACACCGATCTAATTGCTGAGCTTAGTGGTGTTCGCCACTATGTAACTGCAACATCTGGTTTTAGTTTTCAAAAGCAAAATCATACACAATGTCGAATACCCATCTTAAAATTGCCATTTGGTTGCAAGCTTCATGCTATTAAGTGCATGTGCAGAGCCAGAGAGCACATGGCCTCCACTAACTAGCATGAGAGAAGAGGGTCTCTCTGTTTCTTTTCTCATCCTTTCCTTTCATCTGTGGCATGTGAAGACAGCTGAAGAAAGGATGGAAGTTTGGTTAACCTTACTTCCTATTTACTAGGGCACCCACCTCCATCCCATGACCCTATTGAAATGTACATCACCTCAACAGGTTGGACTTTGCTTCTAAGGACTGATGGTGCTGCTGCTGGTCACATTCTTCCGGTGGGGTTCCTCTTCTAAAGCATTCATTCAATAAATAGCATCACATAATACAAAAGACTCCTTGCCTTCTTTGTTTGATTCATAACAGGATGGATGGAAAGCTCATCTCTTCATGTGGTCATGACCTTGTGGCCTCTTGTGGCCTCTCACCAGTCCCCGGAGCTGTAAAAGCAACCAGTAAAACTAACGGGAGGAAAAGAATAAAGGGTTTATGTATTTATATAGTGCACCGGACAAAGATGTACTTTCTCTGCTCTTAATTTGATGCTAACCCGCCTTATCACTAGAAAATCTTAGATCAGACGGTCAAGATCCTTCTGTCTGCCACCTCTTAGGCAGGAATCCCACCCAAGATTGCAGATCCAAGGCATGGCCTACATGGAATGTGTGGGAGATATTAAATGAAATCCTTTCCCTTTGGAGGTTGAAGGATTCCAGATATCTTTATGGGTCCAATAAGATGACGATACAATCTACTATTTGGCTGATATATTTTATCCCATATTTTAGAATCTGTTATTGATATAGCAAGGTCCCATTTGATTTGCAGGAATAGGGGCCTGGAATCAGAATCGGAAGGACTATTTTGATCCCAACTATTTGGTTGGATGGAATTGGAATTCTATTCTCATTCCTGTTGGAATGATATTCCCCATTTGAGAGAATGACATTTCCAGCCCTTCCCTTGGGAATGAAATCCCATTCGTGCTGATTTCAATTTTCATTCTCATTTCTATCTGAACCAAACAGACTATGAGAATAAACCATTCCTATTCTGATTCTAATTCCAACTCCGAAGAAAACAAACCCTAAGTATCTTTACAAAAAAAGTTTTATTGTCAAAAAGATGTGATACCAGAAAGGCTTTAACCAATCAAAAGTCTATGAATTTTGATGAAATCATCTGATTGGTCAACACTATGATGATGCTTGATTGGTTATGGAGATGCAAATCAAATAGGCTGGGTTGGGTTTAAGTTCAACTCAGGCCCAACCCTAAGAATTGTGCCTAAGATCCAAGTCCAGCCCGAACTGTTGAATTTAAGTCCGGTCTAAATTAAAAATTGATGTAATTGGATTGGGGTCAGGCCCAGACTGGACCTTCCCAGTTCGAATTGGACCCGGCCAAATTGCACCCCTAATTGATTATAAAATTTTCCCATAATCATATCTTTCAGGCATCATAATCGAACCCTTTCTATATCATTGAATAAAATATGCGTACTAATTATGGTCCATAATAGAAATGTTCTGACAAAGGGCAAAGTACTTCCACGTTGCTCAAAAGGAGTCCCTGGATTTCCTCAATTCATCCATTTATGAATGTACATATCGGTCACTAGCTTCCAAAAAAATGAGTTAGCTAAGTAATAAATCATTCAATAGCGATCATATGCTACTGTTGCTGATAATGATGTTGTCAATGCTGGAATTGGATTTGGATTGACAGCTTTTCTCTTTAAGCTGATGAACCCAACCACCCAACAGAATCCCCTCCATAAATTAAGATGTTCCACAATTATTCCATTTTTTCCTTTTTATTTCTTTCCACATAATTAGATCGGAGTACTAGAAATGAACAACCACTGCCTTGAATTGTCCTCAATCGCCCAACACTTCATTCATAGATACAAATTATTTAGGTAAACCCCAATTGTTATTACTTATTATAATATGTCATAAGTGTTATTTGTACTTGGATGTGTAGGGGGTTATTAAGGAGGATATTTTTTGTCTTGTTTTGACCAAAATCCTTTTTTTTTATTTTTTTATATCTTTTGAAGGGTTACACAACTTAGTAGCCCATCCCCCAACACAACGGAGTAGTCCATCCCTCAATCCAGGTGCAGGTAGGATTCGATGCCAAGTTTCCGCTACAAAGCCCTTATCAATCACTTAGTTGGCACTTTGCTTAACCAAAATCCCTTTAATAGCAAATCCTCCATCCCCCACAAGGCTTCCCTGTAATTTGTTCATTTATTTGTTTATTTATTTATTTTGTATTCTAGACTTTGAGGTTAAACTTGGGAAGAATATGCAAATATAAGGTTTAGAAATACTATGGCTGATTGGTTGCGTTTGGAAACAATGCAAATATAGTGTAAATCTCGGTTCAGGGTAAATTTGTACTTTGGTTCACTTTTGTCTGTTTGGCAACATTACATTGATGCATCGAAAATGACAGACCAATGCATATTTACATTGATAATAAGATGTGAAAGTACATCAATAAAAAAAAAGTAAATTTGCATTTAAGTGGGCTTTTGATTAAAAAAAAAAGTATATGCTTTATTGGAATTCATGTTTGTATCCATTACAACTAAAAATCTGCTTGGTAAGAAGATAAATTTATTAATGCAAAAACTAACCCAATTTTACAATTTATATGAACCCTTTTACACTATATATTTGCATAATTTCCAAACACAGCCTATATCGCACTGGACTTATTTGTATTTGCATTCTTTTTAAATTGAGCCTGAGATTTTGTCTAACGTCTATTTTATTTGGGTATAAATTGAATTCAGAGTTAAACTTGACCTTTTCAGTGTAAATCATGAGCATTAATGAGCATTCAATTCCGGTGAGTGCATAAATAATACAAGTCTTTAATTCAATTTTTTTTTAAACTTTTGTTCTTGAGTCTACTACGCCCATACTCCAAACCCATTAAACCTGCTTACTATATAATAATTAATGATAATAGCATTACTTGACGGTGCATCAAAAGTGATCGTCATATCTCCCAAACTTGGAATCAGTGAAATTGTGTTCAGGTGAAGAGAAGAGCCGAATCTAGTTTATTGAACTATAAGTACCCCATTAACACATTAATTTGACAATAAAAGGTGATACATGATCTTAATAATTCAGTTGGTTTAGGCCATGTTTAGTTTAACTTTCATTTTTTCTTATTCTTATTTAAGATGAAATTCTAAAATGGAAAAAAATAGATAAAAATAGGTAGATTGAGAAAATATTGTTATGAACCAAACACTTTTTCCTAAAAATGAATTCTTTTCAGACTGATAAATGTCATATGTTGCTTATTTTCATTCTTCAAAAAACAAAAATTGTGCCGATATTCACAAATTGCCTGCCTAGGTCTCCAATAGTCAATGTTTACCAATTGGCATAGATATTTTGTAAAAGTACTTTCGTAAAAGTGTTTTTATAAAAGTATTTTCATAAAAATTCTTTTATAAAAGTACTTTCATAAAAGTGTTTTTTTAAAAGTACTTTTGTATTAGTGCTTTCGTAAAAGTACTTCCACAAGTGTTTTTATAAAAGTACTTCCGCAAAAGTGCTTTCATAAAAGTACTTTAATAAGTGGTTTTATAAAAGTACTTTTGTAAAAGTGCTTTTATAAAAGTACTTTTGTAAAAATGCTTTTATAAAAGTACTTTCGCAAGTGTTTTCATAAAAGTACTTCCATAAAAGTGTTTTTATAAAAATACTTTCATAAAATTGCTTTAATAAAGTACTTTATAAAAGTGTGTTCGTAAAAAGTACTTCCATAAAAGTGCTTTCATGTAAAAGTAGTTTTATAAAAATACTTTTGTAAAAATGCTTTTGCAAAAGTAAACATCTATGACAATAGTTTTATAGGTAGAGTTTTCTCCAACAATGAAATGAACAAGATGGGGCATGATTATTTTTCATGTCGTAGGCTAGTCAATTTTTGTTTTATGGGACTGACTTTTCCTTTTAAAAATAATGTGGCCATTAGCAAGAATTTTGTAACCAAACTCTCTAATATTATTCATTATTGCTTAGAATTGACAAGAATTAAGAGAATGAAGCCCAGGATAGTGAATCAAACATGGTCTTATCTATCGTCTTGTGGCAGTAGAGGGATGTTAACATAGAGAGAGTAAAAAAAAAAAATCAGAATTTGAATTCGAGGTTCAATATCATTTTAATAGGTATTTACTAAAGTGACTTGTCCTGTCCTTATGTTTTGCATTTTGGGTTCATCTATGAGAAATATGTATTATCACATTATATATAAATATCATTTCAATTAAAAAAACATATGTATATGAAAAATATTAATTTGACGTTTTTAAATAGAAATATCAATTTGTATTGATCAACTTAAAATGCAATGGCAAATTTGCAATATAACATCAATGTACCAAACACCCTCTTAGATGATTAATAGGTTGAGTTCCAATGAAATTTCAATACAAATCTTACTTTCTATTCGAATTCAATTCGCTTTACACCCCTAACCCTAACCCTAAATATAAGATCCGAGTTTCTGCATATTTGGGTTCGTATGTTAACCCGAACCGTTTAGTTGAGACAGAACACATGGACCAGAAGAGGCAGAAACAAGAACAACAGCTGCTCAACCAAACTTGTTAACTGTCAGTTTTACTCATCTTTACTGTCAAGCCTATACTCTCTCTCTCTCTAAGCTGATAAAGAAAAAACAAAAAGCTATAAAACTGGAAGCTCTGTCCTGATTTTGTATCTACCCCAAATGGTCTCGTTTTCATTTTTGGCGACATGAATCGGATTCCGAGGGAATCCTTGGCCGGAGGAAGAAATTCTCTGGCGGGACCACAACTTCGAAAGGGACGGAGCAATGTCGGCTTCTCAAGGGAGACGGATGAGAACTTGGATTTGTTCTCCAGGAACCGCCGGAGCCTCCCGGTCGGGTCGTCCGACGAACGGGATGGTACGTACCCGACCTCACTGCCTCAGAGTTACGGTTTTGAGTCTCCGAATCTTTTTCGTTTTCTAACCTGAACTTACTGGAATACCCCTTTAAAATTATTTGTTAGCTGCCTGTTGAGATTACATATGGGAGAATTATGGTCATTTGCTACCGATAATCTGAAAGCGTCTTTCTGTTCCCTTTGTTTTGTCTAATTTTCAAAATTTGTCGGCTTCCACCTGTAGGTTCTTTCTGTTTCAATGAGTATAGAAATTTGAAGGGAACTCAAGCTGATTTTGAGTTAACTGAGTTGAACTCGTATTACTAATGAATTGGTCGATGTTTGTTTGTGTTTAACACCAGTAGTTGCACCTCATATAATTTGCGAAATTTTCTGTAATAATTTAGGAAGCTTTGCCTATGAGCCTCCCACGGTGCTTGGTTGAATCTTTTGGGAGGAACTCGGTCTTTCATTTTTGTAGAAATCATGAAAGTTTTAACACTGTTGGATTAAATTTCCTATTCAGATGGGTTTTGAAGTACCGGAGTTGCTTATAGTAGTAGTTATGAATGTTTTCAGGATCAGTGAAATTGGGGAGAATTTCGGTTGAACCAGTGAAACTAGCAAGGAGCGGAATGGACGATCTACTGTCTTCAGTAGACGGGGGAAAGCACGATTATGACTGGTATCTATCCATAAACTTTCAGATCCACTTCTTATCAATCCCGTGCTTGCTGAATGCTGAATGCTGACATTGATATAATCTCATTTTTATACTGAACAAAGTTCTCTCCCTACTTTTTTTAATCAGTTGAGTTGAGGGTTGCTAACCGCATATTGGTCAAATAACATAATATTTTATGTTTATTTGAGGCCAGAAAGTGCAAATATCTTTTCACTTGAAAATGCTGCTTGAGAACTTCTCAGCAGGCTATTTGGTACAGGTGGCCATCCAGCGGTTGTTGATGGTGATCCCCTTTATTCTCCCTGGCACTCTAGGCATTATGTTGCTTGGAGACTCTCTTAGTGCTTTTCATTCCCTTTAATCATTCAGTCGGAAATTATTTATTGCATTCTCTTGCAAATGAAGGGGGTGCTGAGGTTGGAAAAATCTGAGGAAATTGATTCTCATGGGGTTGAAAATTCTATGGAAAAATCTCTGGTTATTACAAATAAAAGATCAAATCAATTTGGGCTAAGGAAATTGAGTCCAAATAAAATCAATTTGGATGTTTACCAAGTAGAACATGCTTTATCTGAATATGGAATCAACCTCCAACCATGAATCTATGATAATAGTATCCTGAAAGTACATACATATTGATAATGGGGTGTCATTCCCAAAAAGATTCAAGCAACCATGAGACAGGGATCCAGGTTACCTTGATGCAACTGCCCTAAACTTAATGAAATTAAGATAGAAAGTATTGCAGCTTAGGCATTATGACACAGTTTTGGTCAAGCTAACAGGAAAAAAGATAGTAAGATACTTAGTAAATAACATCTCTTTAGATTAAAAAAACAGATTCCTATATTATATAAAGGAGATTTGTATGTAAGAAAATATTAATCTATTTTAAACCCCTAAGGATGGTGTCAAATTGTCATTGTAGCAATATAGTCACTAGTGTAACAGGCTGGCAATGGTGAATGTCAAACTGTCACCATCATTTGATGGTGTAATTTATGGTATATACAAGTTCACAACAACACATCCACTCCCCCCCCCCCCCAACACACAGATACACGGGAAAGAGAAGGGAAAAACAAAAGAATTCTCGATTCCTCAAACTGTATATGATCCATGCAAAACTGTATATCCAGATCAGCGTTGTTATTCTCTCTCTGAAGGCATGCTTCTAATTGTTTCATTATTTCTGAATCATCTTGTATTTTGAATTTATTTCGTTCATTATTTTGCAATTGGGGTATTTCCGAACTTCAAAATGTGACTCTGCCAGACAAGTTCTGCAATTTCACAATTGTGTTTAAATCAAGCCAACCCTCTTAGCTTCACTTGACTCTCCACCACATGGAGTCTGATCTGCAAGTTATTTCAAACTCATTTAATTTCTTAGTGATGTTTCTTTGAAAAAAAGATTCCACTTGGCTCTTTTCTTTCACCAACTCAAACAAAATAACTCACCTTGTTTCTGATTTTCTGAGGCTAATGATAAATATCTCAACCCTAGCAACTATGATGTGGGGAGGATTATAATTTTTTCCTTTTCGTTGACAAAGAAGAGGTAAATATATTATCATATAAAAACCATAGATATGCAAAAAATTGTTGTTAATCAATTAACCTGCCATTGTGGAAACTTTTACTCAAGCTAGCATTTGCAATTAAATCTATACTTTCTTTAAATTCTGTGGATAGGCTTCTCACTCCTCCTGGAACACCTCTTTTCTCTTCATCGGATACAAGTGAGTTCCCTCCAACTTTATCAGCTCCAAGAAGCAGTTCCTCGGGTAGATCAGTTTCCACCACTAAAGCCTCAAGGGTACACATTTCCATCTGTTCTTATTCATTACAAATTTACTTTTATCCAAGTTTATAAATATTATTTTTTATATTTAAAATTTCCAATGGTGTAGGATACCAACCATAATTCTTCTTTAAACTAATCACTTCCCAGGGGAGGACAAACACAACCTTGTTCTGTACAACAAATATCTCCTGGATATGCATTATGCTTCTGACCATTCAATCTACTATATCTTTTGGACAAATAAAAATAACACAGTTTGGCTAATGGTCTATAAACTATATTGTAGATTTGATAGTCATGCTCTTCTAACTGAAAGAGTATATGATGTACAGAGCAGTCGCTTCCAAGCCCCCTGGAGGTATCCTATGTACAGAGCAAAGATTCACAAATCTGATTGGTCTTAATTGGGTTATTCTTCTGAAAGCTTTTATTCCAACTAAATAATCTCCTGAGTAACAAGTTCCTTAGTTCCTTACTGACCGACAAGGTTTCAGGCTAAGCTGAAGCTCACACTATAGGTGAAGTCAATCAGGCAATCCAACTTGAAGATTGGGTTTTGACCAATTTCAAGTCAGGTGTGAGTTATGCTGTCAGTATTACTTCAGTTTTGGTTTAACACCAACTTAGTGGTCGCTGACAAGTTGCCACCCTCTGATAGAAATGGTTGATTCAAACTGGCAATGCAACCTCAACAACCATTACTGGCTTATCACCAATAGTGTTACCTTCCTAGTGGACTTTTGTTGTAAATAGAATATTTGGTTGCTGGTATAGAACTTATAGCTAATTAGTTTTCTCAGAGTTGATGCATATGCATGTCTAATTTTTTATTTCCTCTTTATTTCAGCTTTCGGTAATGCAATCAGAGAACAACCATTCATCAAGACCAACTAGAAGTAGTTCAGTAACACAACCTTCTGTGCACTATAATACAAACTCTTCTAATAACTCCAATAGAACTTCAATGCTAAACACAAGCTCAGCATCAGTCACATCTTTGTACAGACCATCCACCCCCACTACTCGTTCAAATTTGTCATCTAGTACAAGACCTTGCACCCTATCTTCCCGGTCAATGCCATCGCGATCATCAACACCATCCAAATCCCGGCCAGGTCCCATCAGCTCTCCTAATGACAAAACCAAAGTACCCCAAAATTTAACACACTCTACACTAAGCACCAGACCTCAAGTCCCTGCAAACTTGAATTTTCCATCATCTCGACCAAACTCACAGTCATCAACTCCCAATCGTTTGACCCAAACAGCAGTTCCAGTTCCAACTCCATCAGTAGCTCACTCAGCCTCTGTGGGCCGGCTTGCAAATGGCCAAAATCCAGCACCTGCTTCCCGTGGAAGTTCCCAAGGACCACGGGCCCGGCCACCATCACAGCCCATTGTGATTCCTGATTTCCCACATGATACACCATCTAATCTGAGGACCACATTGCCAGACAGACCAGTTTCTGCTGGTAGATCCCGACCAGGTGTTGCTGTTACTGTCAGGGGAAATTTGGAGGCACCTGGGCTTATCCCACGGAGGCAGTCATCACCTTCAAGGGGAAGAATTTCAGAACTTTCAGTGAAGGGCCGCTTGCATGCTAATGTTGGGGCACCTGAATTACAGAAGGTCTCACCGGTATTGGAACCTACAGTTCGGAAACCTGTGAAGCCCACAGCTGTCATTGAGAGTACTGGGTTTGGAAGGACAATCTCAAAGAAGTCACTAGACATGGCTCTCAGGCATATGGTACGTCTCTTATTACAAGAAGAAAACGAAGAATACATCCGTTCTGGATGTCTAGGCAGCATCTTGTACCAATTTTCTATGACGGAAAGGTGCACAGAAATGCTGCTTGTAAGTTGGAAACTAAGCAATTCAATCTGCTATACTAGTATAGAACATGGATATCCAGATAAATCTTTTGACTTCCTCTTGATGCCAAGGGGAAAGAGAGAGACACAACATAAACTTATTTACATGCTATTCATAAATAAAATGCTCAGAAACATTCGGTGGGCCATGTTTTGTTCTAGTATAGCTAATACTTGGTAATGGAAGGTTGTGATCGCGACGGAATGGCATGTGCAGTTTGGTGGGTCAGAAGGTGATTTACCTCTCTGTTTTCCTTAATTTATTTGCTAATGGTTTAATGCAGGATATCCGAAATGGCACAGGGAGCATTCGTTCTTTGGCAGGAACTACTCTATTCCCTCAGAGCATCCGTTCTAGCAACCCGAATGGCCAACCTGCTCGTCCCTTGGATGCTCCAGTTTCCATCAGTAGCGACAGTGCCCCATCTGTCAGCGGCAATGGAGCCATATTGGAGAATGGAAACTGTACCGATAGGTCCACGGGGAGGGAGGCCAAGGAAGATGATGGTCGACCTTCAGCAAAACTGAGTGAACAACCAGATATGTTTGAGAGCTCTCGTTATGATGCGATTCTGCTCAAAGAAGACATGAAGAACACCAACTGGCTGCACAGTGTAGATGATAAGTTTGATCAGAGCCTCATTTTTTATCACCGGTTTGATCCACTACCCGAACCATTTGGCCTTCCATAACCTGTGGAGTGTTATTATGGTTTCTTTTTTTTTCCTTTCTTTTTACTTAATTTATGCCTATTTTACATCTATGGCTATTATTTCGAGGATGGAATCCATCAAATTTTCTCCTACTTTCTTTTGCCTTTAGGGTTGTAATGTTGGGACTTGGAAGCATAACTGCACTTGAACCTCGGGGGTTTAGTCAATCCCCTCCAGTCCCCCAAGTATAACTGCACTTGGGCCTGTAATGTTGGGACTTGGAAGTATAACTGCACTCCAAATTTTCCTTGTACAAAGCAACAAGGTTCAAAGTATCGTTACGTATCAGCCAATACGTATCGTTCCGGGACCCTTCCAATACGCCCCTACAGTGGGTGTATCGGGGATCTGACCGGTTCAGGGGATGGAGGGGTCCTAGACCAGCTCCCCTGAACCAGTTTTGAAAAAAATATAAAAAAATATTTATATATTTTGAACCTTGCAAAGCAGCAAAAACACAGGATAATAGAATAACAGTGTACTAAATTTCAAGCGAAGAAGCATTTGATTGCCCAAAATGCCTCCCAGCCACACATCGGGTACACCTCCCATCATTGTTTTCAAAACCAGTCTGGATCAGACGGTTGGACCGGAAAACCGGGAACTGGTCAGACTGGTTCTGTTTTCCCCCCAAAACTGGGTTTTTAAAAAAAACATTGATTTTGATCAGCAAACTGTTGAACCGGGTGATTAACCATTTAAATGGTTTTGATTATTTTTTTATTTTTAATTTTTTTGTCAGAATCGACTGACCGTTCGACCCGGTAACTTGACCCCTGACCGGAGATGTTCCCAATACACTAGTAGGTTATGAGTTACAGTGCTCATGAGCTTTGCTTTTATATGTATTATTGGTTTCTGATGCTATCCATATTTAGAACGAAGAAACAAAAAAAATACGGTAGAAGATTTGTTCATCGTTCGTGTAAAATGTTCAATTGTTGTTTCTTTTTTGCTTTTCATGGATCTACACAACCTGATGGCAGCGGGATTTGATGTCAGGTATGGTATCTGCTACAAGCCTACGAGTCAGATCCTACCGAGCCACCGTCGGTTGGTCAAATGCATTTTAGTTTTACTTCTGTATTTTTGAAAATTTTAAAATACTCACCGATTATGTTATTCGGAGCCTTACAGTACATTACATGCCAATTTGCAAACTATGGCCATTCATACCAAGGAGAAGACGACCTGGATCTTATAAATTCTCTAAATTATAATTGGAAAGCTTTGTTTTGTGTTATTGTGCGTTAAGAAAGTAGTGTCTATCAATCAATGATTCATAGATTCTCGGAAAAAAAAAATGTTACAGTTGAAAAGTCATATTCCAAATGCCACAATGATCCAACCCTCAACGAGAGACAATTGGCGAGATGGTAAAGACCATAACTTAAATGAGAAGAAAAAGAAGCCATTAAGCAATAGCGTGTGCGGAGATATTTCATTTAGATACTTTCGGATATCTAACAACACAGTACGCATTACCAACCACTGGGGTTGAGTTATTCCCAAAGATTCCATAAATAAGACAAATACATAATTCTCTGAATGATGAAACGCTGTCTACAGCAGATTATGACTCTTGTGCGCCATGCAGTCTGCTGCTTTTTGGGTCTACCTGTGGCTGTGGGTAATGATTGTATTTAGATTCTATTTACTCAATTTGACATTTATTTTAGGAGCATGGCTGGGTTTAATTTACACGTAACTTGTTTGTTCTTCAAGCCTCAAGATCATCTGGTTAGCTCGGAATGAGTTAATTTTTAACCAGAACTTTTGGAACCTTCAAATGATTATCAAAAAAGTAAACTCGCTTTTCCTAAGCCAAAGTCTGCTCAGAATTCAGATGCAAACCCTGAGTCTACATCTTCCCGACTTTTGCAGAACCATTGGTTTAAGTCACGCGAGATTCCTGAAGCTGAAGTTTGATGGCGCCAATTCAATCTCTAAACCAGGTATTGGTCTGATTGTTCGAGATGAGAAAGGAGTAGTGGTGGCTCGGGCGATTCCTGTTGAGGCCAATTCGGCTTCTTCCACTGAAGCTTTAGCGCTCTTTGAAGGCATCAAACTAGCTTTGCAACTGGACCTCAATTCAATTATTCTCGAAGGTGATGCAAAAATACCTATTCTCTGTTGGAGGTCAACCCAAATCTTCTTTGGAGCCTTCATGTGCTCTTATCTTTCCTGCAATAATCTACTCAATCGCCTTTCCTAACTACTCAGTTACATTCACTCCCAGATCAGGTAACAAGGCAGCCCACAAACTTGCAAAGTTTGCGCCGTCTTGCTCGTCACCTAAAACTTGGTCTTCTTGACCAGAATTCTTGAAAAAGTTTTGTTTCGCAGATGTAACTGATAGTTTGAATCATGGTTTTGAAAACCGACCCAGAAATGGAACCGTTTTTACCACCGTTTTCCGGTTCATCGATTCAACCGTCTGGGTTGAACGGTTTGACCCGTGACATCATAAATAAAATAAAAACAAAAAAATATTTATAAATAATAAAAAATCATAAAAATTAAATAAATACAAGAAACAAAGGATGAGATATTGAGATTCCACAATTATTTAGTCACCTATTGCATTCGTTCTCGGCTTTAATGGCTGTTGTAGAAGTTTCTGCTGCTCAAAACATGCTAGCCGGAGTAGGAGGTGGTTGTCGGTGCAAGAAAGCCCCAATATTACAAAAAGGGGGAATGACTAATGAGCAGAGATTTGGGAGCAAGAGGTGGTTGTCGGTGCAAGAAAACTCCAATATTACGAAAAGGGGGAATGACTAATGAGCAGAGATTTGGGAGCAAGAAGTGGTTGTCGGTGCAAGAAAACCCCAATATTACGAAAAGGGGGAATGACTAATGAGCAGAGATTTGGGAGCAAGAGGTGGTCGTCGGTGCAAGAAAGCATCAATACAAGTTGGCCGATGCAATCCTTGGTGTGTTTGCCGGTTGCCGCTGTAAATCTTGGTCACCGGCGGTTGATTGTTCGGAAGCGCAAGTGTGCTGCTGTTTGCTAGCTCCGCTGCAAATCTTGGTCGTCGCCTTTAAGTGCACAAAGGCTGTTGGCCGCTACAAATCTTCGGTTGAAAACGCAGGTGTCGTTCTCTTCTTTGGTCAAAAGAGATGCTATGCCAAATCTTGGTCGTCGGCGGTTTCTATGCCAAATCTTATGGATTTGTACCCAAAACCAGTGACTCCACTGTGGTCGTCGGTGGTTGGCCGCTGGCCCGCTGCTACTACCGCTGCAAAATCGCCGGCCGCCGCTGCAAGTCCTTGATAAATAGAGGTTGCTGCTGGTTATAAAATGCAAACCGCTGTATATAAAGCTTACCACCGTCGCCGGTCGCCGTGAATCGTCAGTCATGGCTCCTGCAAGTCCTCAGTCGGGGTATGAGGACTGAGAGGAGGAAAGGGTTAGAACGAAAATGAATGACTTTCGTTCTATCCCTAAAGGCCTAATTTGTAAGTCTTTTTTTGTTTTTATTATTTTTTTTTAAATCAACGAAAATGAAATTTGTAAGCCGTGAACCGCTGCCCAGGTCGAACGGTTTAGCAATTTGACCACCCGGATCAGCGGTTTTCTGACCTTTTCAACGGTTTTTTAGGATTTAGCGGTTTACAATATAACCAGACCCGGAGGACTGAACGGTTACCGGTTTTCTGGTCCGACCGTCCGGTCCGATCCGATTTTCAAAACCATGCCAATCACCGTAACGAGGATGAAATATGAATAGAATTCTCCCGTCCAGATCTGTGCTCCCAAGTCCCATCTTTCTTTTTCCACGTGTATGCGTATCACCCAAAAGTGGCATTTTCTTCATCAAATCAGCCCAGCTCAGAATTTACTAGGCCAGGGGAATGCATCCGACCGTGAATTGATGCCAAATTCACGGGCAGTATGTGGTTTATAGGGGGGACAGGGCTAGTTGCAAAGGGGGCTGGAATTCAGAATTCTGCATCGTGTCTCCGTACTTTTCCCCCACTAATTTTGCAGCTCATCCTCGCCGATGATTCTACCTATTCCAAATAGGTTGTATGAGTTACGCAAACTACAATCTTAATTCTTTAAGAGTGACTGATGTGACAGCCTTCCTTAATATAGGAGTCTTCCTTTTCATTCTCTGGTGGAGAGACCAAGACATTACCCTTAAACATGTACCATTCACGTTAACACACATGACAAATACTTGAGATATCTACAAACAAACAAGAGAGGCCCAATCCAACACGACCACAGCTTTAAGAGAGCTTTTAACATTTGCAAGTTGCGACTACTTACTAAGCAAAATTATAATAATACAAAGCATGCCATTAGCACACAAAGGAATGGAGGAGAAATATTTTGACGTTTACAAAGAGGAGTCCACTAAAAGTATCCAAATGTTCTAAATGTGCTTTCATAATGCTTCACTTATAAAACTCGAAGTCTGTGTCAGGCTTTTTAACATTTGCCCTGTAACCCTTTTCAAAGTCCTTTGGAAGTATAACATACCGGTTCTTGCGAACCGCATGCATTCCTGCTTCTTGACAAATTGCCGCAATCTGCAGTTGCACCAAGACAGGCAGTGAGAATAGTATATGCATTCCTAAAAAGGTAACCTACTCGAGTTTTGAAGTACCATATATTGGTATGGACTATGTATCGACTCATTGACTGTACATACTGATACACCGGGAATATCAATCACAACATGGTAGAGAATCAGATGATACAGTGGGCACTGGGCACTGGGCACTGGGCATGTTGATTATAACTTGATATCTATTTGTTTTCTTTTCCTTTTTAAATTGCATACTCCCCTATAGGCATTTAAAAATTATACACTACCATGGCAAGACTTAAATTACAAAAAGGTAAATAACGGTATTATAATAAATAAGCCTATAAAGAAAAAAATCAAGAGTACATAAAAAAACATTAAATTAAACAAGCAAGAGAGAGAGAGGGAGAGGAAAGTGTAAACGATATGCATAATATATAAAAATAATGTATTATAAAGCACATGTTAGCAAGATGTAGCCATAGTTTTCATATCATATTAAGGCACGTGCCTGTTGCATAGGCAGATGCTTTGTTGCTACAAAGCCAAGGTGTTTAAGCAAAGAACCCAACCATGGGTGCTTAGTTGCCTAGGCGACACCTTGATAACTATGACTAAAACGGGCCTTTTTCTTTTTCATTTCTACTAAAATGAGAAGGCATCATAAGAGAACTTTTAAGACATGAAGAATGAAATAATGACAAGATCAATGGATGTCAAAATTTTGACAAATTATCATAACTCAGAAGAGAGGAGTTTTATTCATCAGTAACAAAGAGAGCTTTTGGAGCCCAGTGGTGGAAAGATTTGAAAAAAAAGACTTGTCTCTTGGAAAAAGAATTCTCACTGGGTGGTAGGATTACACTGATTAAGGCCACGTTAGCAAACTTACCCATTTAATTTCTTTCAATGTTTAAGATTCTAGGGAAGGTTTGTAGTAGGTTGGAGAGGTTGATAAGAGATTTCCTTTGGGAGCCAGGAGAGGAGAAGAGGGACCACAAGGTTAGCTGGAAGGTGATGACCAAAAGTAAAAACTATGGGGGTTTGGGGCTTGGGAACATTGGGAAAAGGAATTCGGCTCTTCTGGGAAAATGGCTTTGGAGATTTCCTCTAGAGCAGAAGAAGCTATGGACTAGAATAGTGGCAAGCATACATGGGCTGGAGCAAGATGGATGGGATGCTGGAATCAGAGCAAGGACCACAAGCACTTCACCTTGGAAAGCCATTCATGATTTGCTTCTAATCTTCTCCCCACATGTCAGGTATGATTTGAATTCAGGTAATTCCATAAAATTCTGGGAACATATTTGGGTGGGGAATGTTCCTCTTAAGGAACAGTTCCTTCTTTGTATGCTCTTTCTAAATTTAAAAATGACCCAGTTTCTTCTTTCATCACCCCTTCCTCTTCCAATTCGAGGTTTGGGTGAAACCTGGGTCTAAGGAGGGCTGTGAGGGATTCAGACCTTGATAGTATTTCGAGCCTATTTGAACTTCTTGATAATGTTTTCTTGGACCCTTCTAAGGTGGACTCTAGAATTTGGATCCCTACCCCCACGGGCTTTTTTTCCTGCGCTTCCTTCTTCAAAGTCCTTTGCCAGTCCACCAGTCCTGCAACCTCCCCTTTCCCGATTAGTGAGGTTTGGTGCAGATTGATTCCTCCTAGGGTTGGTAGTTTTTGTTGAGAAGCCTATTTGGAAAGATTCAACACTGGGGATGTGCTCCAAAAGAAGAGACTCGATACTTGTTTGTCACCTCATTGGTGTGTTCTTTGCAAAGCGGATGGGGAGACTAGTTTTCACTTACTGGTGTCTTGCCAATTTGCAAAGTCAATTTGGGAGTGGGTTTTTTCTCTCTTTGGGTGTAGGTAGAACCCTGCATCAGATTTGCAGAGTCTATTTTCCCCTTCCTTTTTTAGGTGGCACATGAAAAGGGAAAGGACTATGTGGAGAGGTCTGAGGGCTGCAGTATGCTGGACATTATGGGAAGAAAGAAATATTAGGATCTTCTCAGGAAATGGGAGAGGGGCTAAAGAACTGAGGGTTGTGATCCACATAAAGGCAGTATAGTGGCTGAAATCACTAGAGCTATTTACAGACTACACAGTGGAAGACATGTTGAGAAAGTGGGGTGAGACTGGCTTCTTAAAGTTAAATTTTGATGGGAGTTGTAGGGGAACCCGGGACAATTAGGGATTGGAGGTGTTTTTAGGGGTGAGAACGGGGTCATTTCTGCCGTGTTCTCAAGCCCAATTGGTGTGGGGGATTCCCTTAGAGCTGAGATCTTGGCAGTTATGGAAGGAGTTCAGAAAGCCAAGGAGATGAATGTCAGGAAACTCATAATTGAAG